GCCGGAGCCCCGGTTACCCGTTAGGTTCTCCGCGACTCCGAATCGGCATCGGCCCTATTGGGCCCCATCTGTGGTGGTCTGATGGCTCTTTGAGGCGCGCGCGGAAATGATGTACCTACATATGTTTGTATTGTAACTTTCGTGAGACATACTAAATAAATTATTATGTTTTCGGCTTACCAGCATTTCGCGACCCGCGACCCGGGTACTGCAGCACATGTGTGCTACTGTAGCACACACGACACGCTTCTCGACACGACATGCTGCTCATGAATATGAGCCTCTAACATGGCTTGAAACTAGTCGAGTACCTCGTCAAATTATTACGTGAGTAAGCCGAAAACATTATAATTTATTTAGTATGTCTCATAAAAGTTACAACAAAATTATTATACGTTGTGTTTGAATTTGTACAATAGGTACCTATCTATATTCTAAAAATTTATAAAATTGACACTTTAGTCAATCGCGTCAAAACGACAAAACATACACATCATTGTTGTCCAATCCCTTCACGGGATTGAGTACACAAACACATAAATTCGCATTTATAATATAACTGGGTTGTATAAATTCTCAGTACCTAGTAGCACGGAGTCTGGAATTGTGCCCGGTATATGGCAATAGGCTCACCCCCTATTACATGGGACTCATAACATAAATAGTGAAAAGTGGGTGTTACATTGCACAGTGGCATAATGTACACTTCTGTCTACCCCTTCGGGGATAAAAGACGTGATGTTATGTTTTTTAATATTAGTGAGATAGTCAGATGTGAGGGTAATCGTACACATGTTGATTTTTCGAAAACTTAACGGTCTTAATTTTATGAATGTTTCTTTCTACCGTATAATTTAGAAACAATAGATGTTTGAACAATGCGATTAGCTAAAGGATATTAATTTCTTTATCTGTCGTGTTTAAAAGATAAGACAAGTTTTATGGATACCCACTTATTATATACTAGCTTTTACCCGCGGCTTTGCTCGCTTCACAAATGGATAAAAAGCCAATGTGACATATACCAATACACACAGCGCCATCTATACCGATACTTTTATTTTCCCTCGAGAATATCACATTTTTCCGGGATAAAAACTACCCTATTATTTTATCCGGACTTCTAACTATACATCTGCAAAAATTCAAAGCAATCGGTTTAGTAGTTATGGCGTGAAAGTGGAACAAACAAACAAACAATCTCACTTTCCGATTTATAATATTAGTAAGGATAATTTGTAGCCCGCGACTTCGTCCGCGTAGAATATGAATTTTAGAACGTAACTTTTTTTTTGTTTCAATTCTTCAAAGTAAAAGTAGCCTATGTTACTCCTTAGTACATTAGCTACCTGCCAATAAAAGTCTTGCGAAATCAGTCCAGCCGTTCCAGAGATTAACCAGTACAAACAGACAGACAGACAAAAATTGTAAAATAAGTTATTTTGGTATGTCTATCGTATACATATGCATGTAGTAATGTCGCGGAGAACCTAACGGGTAACCGGGGCTCCGGCTCGACGTGCAGGAGAAGCAACGGGGTGGTTTTTAGTCAGTAAGAGTCTGACACTCCCTTCCGCCTCACCCAGGCGGGATAAGTCATTCGATGATTTTCCCCCTTAAAAAAAAAATGGAGTTTCTTGCTCGTTCTTCTCCATAAGAACCTACACTTTGGAATGAGCACCTAGCTTCACTCCAAAATTTTTGTTAGCGTTCAAAAGTACTTTCTAATGGAAAAGTGCCTCTCTGGTCTAATTGAAATAAATGATTTTGACTTTGAATTTAAAGAAGGGGTGCTTTGTAGATATACACTGCACCTCTGTCTACCCTACCAAAGATTATAAGATTGAGTCGACAATTTTCAAAATTTAGAATTTAATAAATTGTAGACTGCCTCGTTGACTGAGTGGTCGCAAGTGCAACAGCAGGGCAAAGTATTACTGGGTTTTTAAAAAAAATCTCAGTAGTAGCACGGAGCCTTGAATTGTGTCCATATGGCAATAGGCTCACCCTATTACATGGAACTCATAACATAAACAGTGAAAAGTTGGTGTTACATTTTACAGTATTGTGCCGTAACGCGCACCTTTGCCTCCCCCTTCGGGGATAAAAGGCGTGATGTTATATTATTTTTTGTAATATTACGAATCTTACAATCGGCTTTACGAATCGAGGTTATGACCTTTGCACACCTCGTGACATGGCTGTGACGTCAGCATTAATGGGTTTAGACTGTAAAAAACAATATCGCATCATTGTATGGTATAATTATAGTGGTATGGTGATCATCTGCCATCATGATTTGACGCATAGGAGCCAGGCACGTGGGTTGAAATGTGAAGCAGAAAATTGAACAGTTAAAAAAAAGAATGTATTGGATTAGGGTAGATGCCTAATTTTTATTTTAATGTCTGTCTGATAGATCGTTAAATCATTAGACACGTATTTATTTTCTTACAGAAACTAATATTTACGATGATATTGATTTGAAATGTCGCGTGACGTCACTTCTATGTACATTTTATATGTAGAAGTGACGTTTTTGCCCCCACTCCTTTGATTAATTTTATCTAAGTATTGTTTTATTATACGACAAAATAAAAAAATACGTGTCTAATATTTTATCATTGCCGAACTGACAGACTAATTATATTTTTAATTTTCATACCCTGTCATCGTCCCAATTACAGTGGTTTGATGATCATCTACCATGATTTTGACGTATGGGAGACAGACACGTGGGTTGAAACGTGAATCAGAAAATTGAACAGTTAAAAAAAGCATGTATTGAAATTGTGCCCGGTATATGGCAATAGGCTCACCCCCTATTACATGAGACTCATAACATAAATAGTGAAAAGTGGGTGTTTTTTTATGGCATAAGCCGGTAAACGAGCAGACGGATGACCTGATGGTAAGCAATCGGCGTCGCCCATGGACACCTGGAATACCAGAGGCGATACAAGTGTGTTAACGGCTTTTTGGGGATTAGGAGTTTGAGGATCGTTGGGGATTCAGGGATTGGGGAGATTGGGGAAGGGGATTGGGCCTCCGGTAACCTCACTCACACGACAAAACAAAACGCAAGCGTTGCTTCACGTCGGTTTTCTGTGTTACATTGTACAGTGGCATAATGTGCACCTCTGCCTACCCCTTCGGGGATAAAAGGCGTGATGTTATGTTATGTTATGTCAATCTTAGAAAGGACATATCACTCGGGAGAATTCGCATTGGTACTTGTTGTTCGTAGGTTTTGAACACGCATTCTCATGCATGTGAAGCGGGCTTCTAAACCTCCGGGCCAACACGACGATTTATTTTAATGCTTATTTATGTTGATATAAACTATTATGACGATCTAAGGTCGTACAAGTTACATCTGAACCGGTCTTATACAAATAATTAATTACAATAATGTTCTTGTCATTCAAGAACTGGATTCTATTCACTGTTGTTATGTTATTTAAGGTAATTTTATTGGAAACTATATGTTATTCGCTATTTTGTATCGTAAACGAAAAAGAAATGTTTTAAAGACTTGTTTATGTACTTATAGAACATCTTCACTACATAGTATAAAACAAAGTGTCGCGGAGAACCTAACGGGAATTGAACCCAAGACCTCTAGCCCGGCAGTCGCACTTGCGACCACTCGGCCAACAAGGCAGTCCTAAGATAAGATTTCTAAGATTGTTTATGGGATAAGCCGGTAAACAGCTGACGGATCACCTGATGGTAAGCAATCGGCGTCGCCCATGGACACTCATTGGAGGCGTTACAAGTGCGTTACCGGGCTTTTGGGGATTAGGAATTTGAGGATTGCTGAGGATTCAAGGATTGGGGAAACACGTAAAGGGTAGATGACTAATTTTTATTTTTATTTCCGTTTGGTAGATTATTTAAAAACATTAGAAATGAATAGTTGCGAAGATATATTGATTTGAAATATCGCATGACGTCACTTTTGAGTACGATTTATACTCGAAAATGACGTAGCTACCTCCCACTCCTAAACTTTGATTCGTTTTAACTAAGTATTGTTTTAATATACAACAATAAATAAAATAAAATCCATGCCGTACTTTCGTATCTGCATAGAGACTAAATAATTGAGCTGACTGCATATTTTATTCGGGCATTAAGAATCATGACATTATGATGATATAATAGGTAAATGTTAATATTCTAGGTATAGACATAAGAACGGATTATTGAATATCGCACTACAATAAAATACTTTAAATTCTCTGTGTCCGTGTCTAGGGGAAGTACAAACTAAAGGTGTTATTCAAAAACTCGTTTGTCTAGATATCAATATCATAATATTCATACGACTCGGACTGTTGACGGTCTAATGCAGAGGTTTTTTTTTATGGTATAAGCCGGTAAACGAGCTAACGGATCACTTGATGGTAAGCAATCGGCGTCGGCCATGGACACCTGGAACACCAGAGGCGTTACTAGTAAGTTAGGAATTTTAGGATTATTGGGGATTCAGGGATTCGGGAGATTGGAGAAGAGGGGTGGTAATTGGGTCGCCAGTAACCTCATTTACACGACGAAACACAACACAACGTTGTTTGACGTAGGTGTTGTTTCACGTCGGTTTTCAGCTCGGCCGTGGTATCACTCCGGTCAAGCCGACCCATTCATGTTGAAGCATGGCTCTCCCACACTTAAAATGGCTATTCAATAAAATATTTCTGCTAACAGAATGAATTACATGTACTTGTCATTTGTTTTTGGCGTGAAATAAGGTTTTTTTTCTTTCTTTCTACGGAAAGAGAAGAGGTGGTAAAAAATGTGTTCTATTCTGCCATTAACTCGTCGAGTACCGGTTTTATAGACACAATTAAAGAACAATAGGTCGCGGTCACCGGTGACCGCTTGGTGTTTGACAGTTTAAAGAACAATAGGTTGCGGTCACCGGTGACCGCTTGGTGTTTGACAGTTTAAATTATTACTTTCATGTACTAATTTTTCTTTCTTTCTTTCCAGACACGATGCGTTATCTCCTATTAGCAGTATGCCTAGGCCTGGCCTGTGCCCAGTCCACGATCGACCCATCAGTCCTCGAGGGTATCTTTGGAACCCCACCGACCCCAAAACCAGTCGGTCCCGTTACACCGGGTTTAGAAGATGTAAGTTTTAAAAGTACTGATTTATGAACCGATACGACCTTTTAACCTTCATTTAAAATTAAAGAAGCATCGACATGTTTGCGGGCCCCCGGAAAATTTGGGCCCCTATATAGAATAGAGATATTAAGATTAAGAATAATTTATTTGTATATAATATATACTAAACTTACAATTTGATTTTTTAAAATTACAATATTAAAGTTAAATGATTATAGACTATTAACTAGATAGTAATACATCACTATGCTTAAAACTATGAACAGAAAAATAAGAGGACTAAAACTAATATTTGTCGCGATTTGCTTGAACTAGGTTTATGCAACTTGTGTTTCAAATCAGACAGAGAAAAGTCTTCGAAAGTTCTTTGAAATACTTATCTCAAGTTTTGTACTTAGCAGAAGGTTTTTATGAGTCCCATGTAATAGTGGGTGAGCCTATTGTCATATACCGGTCACAATTCCAAACTCCGTGCTACGACTGATATTTTTTTTAAACACCCAGTAGTACTTTGCTCGACCCGGGATTTGAATCCAAGGCTCCTTGCCTGGTAGTCACACTTGCGACCACTCGGCCAACGAGGCAGTAATCACCTATATACCTGCACAAATTATTATTTGCCAAGGAATAGGTGTAAATGTTATGTAATGTAACCAGCACCGTAGAGGCACAACTCGAGGGAGAGTGCCTCTGCCAACTCCACCAGAGGACACGTCACTTCTGATTGAAGTATTTGGCACACCACCTTCCACTTCAGCAAGAGAAGGATACGAATCCGTGAGTGCGATGAAATCTGGGTAAATCTAGATTTGCATGGCAAATATTACGTAGTTCATTACATGCTATATTAGTCCATATATCAAAGAACAAAAGGAATTAAATCGCGTGAGAAATTGGGGTACCCAAACTCAGGGCCGTATTGCGGGTTTGTGGGCCCCTGGAAAAACCTGTTTGGGGGTGCATCAATAATTTTAAGTGTCATTTTTATTGCGAATTCGGTGTCATCATCATTATTCATAACGGGTCATATATTCATTTTGTTTTTGTTTATGTTATCGATACAAAATCAGGTAGTCAAATTCAATTTAGACTGCACGGTTGGTGCGGTGGCTGGGCAACCGGCTGCCGTGCAACGTGTCGCGGGTTCGATTCCCGCACGGAACAACACTTTGTGTGATCCACAAATTGTTGTTTCGGGTCTGGGTGTCATGTGTATGTGAACTTGTATGTTTGTAAACGCACCCACGACACAGGAGATAATCCTAGTGTGGGGCAACGTTTTGTAAAAAAAAAAAAATACTTTTATTGAAATGTCAAAAACGATACTTTTCTATGAATTTTGTATTGGATCGCTACTTATGACGTCATCATATTTCAGCGTCAAATAGCATACTTATTTCCTTAAAATTAGCGAGGAAAAATCCAAAAATAGGTAAATTGTCAAATCAATGGATGAGAGTATGATTATTTTTTAATTATTTATTGCATTGAAAAGTTGAAACAATTTATTTTAAACCTTGGAAACTAGGCAATTGTCAGCGCCCTATACCTATTATAAAAAGCGAAGAATATTTTCTTTACTTATTTCTTGGGCATATTCTTTTACAAACCCTACTTTCGAACATAGGGTCCCAATTGGCATTAGTAGGTAGATTGCAAACGCAAACTGTTAGAATATGTCTTACGTTCGACCCTCGAATTAGTAAAATGTTGAAAATCAATCGATTTTAAAGTAAATAGTAGTCCACGCTTATTGTAATTCATAGGCTGTTACTAGAAATTACAGTTGAACTTAGAAAATAATAATAATACAGGCTATTGCATGAACAAATAGGGGAATTAATTATTACTACCTACAATTTGCATGTCATATTTCCATGTAATTATCTAGATAAAGCTTTTAGTGCGAAACTTGATTGTTATGTAGTTTGTCCCAGCTTCGCATGGGTATAAAATTATTAAAGAACAATGGCGAGATTATACCTGGATTGTTTTAGAAGCGTCTATAAACGAGACCTATGAAAAACGTAATGAGGTAATTAAATTGATTTTTATACGATTTTAGTTTCAAACGTAAAAGCCTCAGTATTTATAATGAGAAATAAGTTATTAATTGTATTTATATCCGGTGCTAGTTTTGGTTGATGTTTGTTAGAGTTACCATTTATAAAAAAAAATATAAAATAGTATTAAGTCGAAAAAAATGTTAAAGTCGTGTATAAACCAACAATACCCAAAAATAAATCATTGTAATGTTAAACAACATATAAGAATTGGTTAGATTTGTTATTTTGTGAAAGAAGTCGCGATTTTATATATTTATTTTGATATCACAATCATCATTAGTAGTAATTAAAAGAAAATGTAATGGCAACACTAAGTGGTACTGTCAAATGTCGTAATAACTTCGTTATTCACAAAGCTTGCTTTGGTATAATATTGTTCTTGTTCTTTTCGTCGTTTTTTCGTGAATTATCTGTAATTTTGACCCTCGCATTGCCCCTGGACTTGATTCGCTGCGACTTTATACGACGACTTTTGCTTTCTCACGGACGATCTGCGCTATAAGTACACTATAACTGTTGCTTTTCCAAAAAGGACTCGATTGTTTCTCAATTCTTTTGTGAAGATGCGAAGTAACAGGCCTACACGCATTTTGTGCGCGAATTGCAACATTTGCGTCAATACCCTTCGGCGATATCGGATCTTAGATCAAAACACAAGAGTGTGTACCATGATCTGCAACTGGGTTTATCCACAAATCGTAAGTTTTTAAACTATAATTTATAAGAATATTTCGTAGCTATAACTTTTTACTGCAGAAAAACCATCTTCAGATCGTGTACGACTCGATAATTGACCAGTAATTTATTATTGTACTGCTTGCAACTTCAGTAAGACTGTCTTTATGTTAAACCATTCTATAATAACACACAATAGTCCCATTCATTTTAGTCAAAAAAGGCACAGTAGCATTTTTTCAAAGCTGTGTAAAATACTAGAAAAGTTATGGTTTTTCCTATTTTTTAGATTACCGAAGACGATTGTGTCTGTGAAGCATATTGGGAACTGTCTATGGTTGCAGTTAACCAGAATTTGCAACAAGATAGTAATAAGGCTGGACAATCTGGACCGAGTCAACGAGGACATAATTCATGTGTGCCTTCTGTGTGAATGTTCATTAGTACGAAGGCAAAGTTGTAAATACTTAAAGACAACCTAACAGGGCTACAACTGGATATGATAAATATTATTCAAATGAAAATAGAACCACGACAGGTACGTAGTTCATATTTAAACTGTCAAACACCAAGCGGTCACCGGTGACCGCAACCTATTGTTCTTTAATTGTGTCTATAAATACGGTACTCGACGAGTTAATTTCTATTCATTCTACCCTATTTACCGCTTGAATGCACCGATATGAGACAAAATAGAAAATACATTGTGTCTAGCGTAGATCACATGAAAGGTTAAATTAAATTCATATTATAAATTCCCCTAAATATATATATATATATATATATATATATATATAAAATAATATAAATAATACTATTTAGTTTTTTTTTTAGTTTGTTACCCATCACAAAGATTGTTAAAAAAATAATAATATTACTAACTTCTTACACTTATTATAATAACTTCTTAGATGTTTTGTAACTAACATTTTTTCATTCCGTTGCAGCTAACATCATCTGATAAGGTGTGTCATGCCTGTTGGTTGCGAACTAAGAGAGAAGCTCTTCGTATCAACCATGTTGATGAAATGAGACCACCTGAAGCAATGCCCCAAAATGAAAATCTATTACAGGATAATGAAGTTCATGAGAATCCTCGAGCTGCTAACACTGGCCGGTCAATAGAAATCAATATTGCCAGATTATAAGAGGGCAGCCAACATCAATTGGTAATTCATCGTGTGTTTTTATTCGCCTTGGGAATGTATCAAATACTTCAAGCTCGATCGTACTATGGCGAGCATATACGTTTCCATGGCGGATATAGGATTGAAGCGTGCAATGAAAATATAAATTCCTCTAAATACAATGTACTACGCAGTAAAGAAACGATTTTAATAAAGGGAAAATAAAATCGCGTCACATTTCTAGGAAGCAGTACTATGTTAATATTTTAATTAAAAATACTACCGGCAGATCCGGTATAGTTAGTGGAATACTGCTGTAACTGTTTGGTTGGTCGCGTACTGTAGTTTGTTGCGCACAGTGATGACCCTCGTGTGGTATCTTGGATGGGGCCCATTACAACAATTTATCAGCACCGGCAGGGTTCCTAGACGATATAGTAATACGAGAAGATGAATAAATGGTTCAAAATCTTGAAACTGTTTTATTAAACCCTTAAATGCTGTTATTCATATTTCCTTATAAAAGCTTACCTTTAGCCAGGTTTTTTTTAAGGGGGATAATCATCAAATTACTGCTCAAGACTGTGTGAGGCGGAGGGAGTGTTAGACTCTTACTGGTTAAAAACCACCCCGTTCCTTCTTCTGCACGTTGAGCCAGTCCGGTAACCCTTAGGTTCTCCGCGTTTATGGCAGGTCAGGCCTGCGTTGCCTAACGGCCTAATGCTCTAATTGATCTTTAAAACTTGTGAAACATAGATCCTGAATAGCCACATACCTATCGTGTGTTATAACTGTGATAGTTTTAATATTATCACGTTTTAACGTGGACTTGAATCAATCTAGGTATACCTAACGATATTTTTTTCACATCTCATTTCTTATTTTTGCATCACTGCATTAGGTACATTAAGTTTTGTAGTCTACGAAGTTACTTTTACAGTGACATAACCTCAAAATATAAAAATGTTAATATCTTTTTTTTGAGGCCTTCTTAAATTAAAATTCTCGATGATTATGCTTAAGTAATAGATCCCCTATGATTTTAACATTTTTTCGGACATAGACGCTTCAAACCGATTCCAGGTAAAGTGTTGTATGGGAACTTGCCATTGTTCTTTTCCTTATACATTAGCAATGAACACGATAAAAAAAGATACATCCAATTCAATGCAGTCGTTCAGGGCCTCAAGTCTGCTATTTTTATAATAGGGTAGATGACTAATTTTTATTTTAATGTCCGTCTGGTAGATTATTTTAAAACATTAGACACGTATTTTTTATTTTCTTACAGAAACGAATACTTTCGTCGATATATTGATTTGAAATGTCGCGTGACGTCACTTCTATGTACATTTTATACGTAGAAATGACGTTTTAGCCCCCACTCCTAAACTTTGATTCGTTTTATCTAAGTATTGTTTTATTATACGACAAAATAAAAAAATACGTGTCTAATATTTTTTCATTACCTAACTTACGGACTAATTATATTTTTAATTTTCATACCCTGTCATCATCCCTATTTTGAAATCAATGATCGATCATTCTGACACTATTGTAGGTAAGAGCAGACTTGAGACCATGGAGTTAAGCACGCACACATCAAGTTATGCATAACCAGTATAAACTGAGCTTTAATTCTGCGGAAAGGTCTAACGAAGCGAGACCAGGATAAATTGGTTGTATATAGCTCGTTGTGTGTGCAATGTACATACATTTAGTGATTCATTTCTGTTGAAGTATATAATAATTATTATGTTTTCTTTGAATACCTTGGTTCTACAATAATTACCTTATGTACTTTACCACAAGGTCTTGTTTTCAAGTAAAGTACCTATAATAATTGTTATTGGGTATTTCGATTATACATTTCTAAGTTGGTGGCCTCGACTGTGAAAGGAGGATAAGTAGCCTCCTTGGACACCAGAAAAAAAAACAAAAAACAACGAATTCTTCAATTCATATTATTTTTTTTTATATATTTATATCATTATTTTTATTGTCTTTTAAGTTGTACATATGTTCTTTCTTTTTCCCTTCCTTAAGTATATTGTAAATATCTACACTAAAAAACCTAAAAACGATCTTAAAAACAAAATTACAATGATTACCTATTGACAAAGTTTCCACGAATAATGTAAAATTAAATTATGTAAATAATTTCCAAAAATTCCATTCACAGATAACTTGATTAATTAACTTACTATAGCAAAAAATGTGAACCATGATATTTTTTTATATAAGTACAATCGACGAAATTCAACCATGACCCATTTCGACGACAAATCGTTTGCACAATCAAAATAACAGATGGCGCTTTTTTAAATAAACGACTTAATAAAAGAAAGCGGTATTTTGTAAAATTATTACAGTGTAATAATAGTGCTACAAAAATACGAATCACATTAAAACCAAGGGGTTATAAGTAGAACATAATTTAAGTAGATAAATTAATGTTTTAAATCCCTTTTTCAGATTACAGTGAAACCGACTGAAGGAACCTCAACATTTACTGATAAAAATGGCGAGACGTGTCAGTGTGTGCCGTACTACCTCTGTGACGCAAACAATGTTGGTGTCGACGTGAATAACGCTTCGGTTACCGGCTGGGGCACATTGGATATCAGGTGAGAATAAGCTTTGAAGGTTAAGAACTTTAAAAGTAGGTACAATGCTAAGGACTCACGGCGCAATTATCTTAAAGAAAAGAAAACATCGTGAGAAAACCTGGGCTTATAATTTCTAATTATAATAAACAAAAGGCTCTAAATTAATAAAGATATTTAAAAAAGTTTACTTACAAATTTTAAATCGCCAACCTGCATTGAGCAAGCTAAATTGACTTAGCAGTGGGCATTTATATAGGCTGTTGATTTATATTATTTTTTTATTTGTTGGGCCAACGTTTGGCCACTATCTGGCCTGGTGGTAAGCGATGATGATAATGATATTTGATTTACGTTTCGCTCATCCGCCTGAAAATTATCCAGAAATAAAATGTATTTCAGGTAAAGGTCCCCCTACTACATGGGACTCATAACATAAATAGTGAAAAGTGGGTGTTACATTGTACAGTGGCATAATGTGCACCTCTGCCTACTCCTTCCAGGATAAAAGGCGTGATGTTATGTTATGTTTTTCACGTAAAGGCATACCTTTCAGTTATGTTCCTTTCTGACATTTAAAGCTATTCTACATACATCTAACAATCCTTCACAGCTCAGTTATAAAAAAACTTTGCGGTTGAAATCACAAACCACTGCTAAAATAACTCCTAAATTCATCCCCCAGGTTTGGAGAAGACAATAACATAGACAGACAGTGTCAAGAGAGTGTGGAGGTCTGCTGTACCATCCCCAAGGACACTTCGGAACAGCCCAAACCGAAGCCAAAACCCAAACCCGAGCCAGGCCAGGCTAAAGGATGTGGTTACCGAAACCCCAACGGTGTTGGTGGAATCACCGTTACTGGTGGAAGCGTAAGTAAAATTTGACTTTATTATTGGTCTCATAAGGTGTGTTTTTGTATTGATACGGTTAAAAGTGGTTTTTAAGTAGTTGGATTCAGAATTTAGAATGGTTGGCTGTCCATAACTAGTTTTTCTGTGAAAAATCTCGTCTGCGGCGTCTGCGGCATTTCCGAACTGATACCATCTTTTAAATGTAAAGAAAAGGGCGTACGCTTTAGTATTTTCTCTGATTTTGCTAACGTGTATGGGCAATGCTAATCCAATGGCCATGTTTGTCCGTCAACCATGCGAAACTTTGATTAAATTTGGTATACAGACAGGGTATGGGCTGACTTAGGTGATAGGATACTTTTTATCCCGATTAAATGCTCCCATGGGACAAAACAGGAACTATATTCTGGCAACAGCTAGTTCTATAATAAGAATAGGCAACCATTTTTAACCCACTACAACTCCTCCGTACTTTGAATTGCATTCGTATCATCACTACATATATAAAACAAAGTCGGTACACGCCGTCTGTCTGTCCCTTAGATCTTTAAAAGTACGCAACGGATTTCGATGCGGCTTTTTTTAAGACATATAGTGATTCTTAAGGAAGATTTCTATGTATAATAAATGCATATTGCACCCGTGCGAAGCCGGGGCAGGTCGCTAGTAGGAGATAAGATTATTTTGCATGTAATTTGAATTTGACCTTTCGCCTTTTTAGGGTGCTGAATCCCAATTCGGCGAGTTTCCTTGGGTTGTCGCTATCCTGGACAAGTACAACTCTTCGTATGGAGGCGTCGGAGTGCTCATACATCCGCAGGTGGTGATGACTGGTGCCCATATTGCTCAAAGGTAACATAACATCACGCCTTTTATCCCCGAAATGGTAGGCAGAGGTGCACATTACAGCACTTAATGCCACTGTACTGTACAATTTAGCACCCACTTGTCATTATTTATGTTATGAGTCCTATGTAATAGGGGGTGAGCCTATTGCCATATACCGCGCACAGTTTCAGACTCCGTGCTTTTACTGTGATTTTTAGAACCCAGTCTTTGTTTGCCCGACCCGGGAATCGATCCCAAGACTCCTTGCCCTTGATCATTAATACTTTTTATTCGGTAAAAACGTAGGTAAACTTTTATTGATGCATTTCATTAATAACTAAATATATAAAACTTAAATATAGAAAAAGAAAAAATTAAATAAAAGGTAAAGTCGCTATATTAATGCAATTGCTATAATTGGTGTCGCGGAGAACCTAACGGGTAACCGGGGCTCCGGCTCGACGTGCAGGAGAAGGAACGGGGTGGTTTTTAGTCAGTAAGAGTTTGACACTCCCTCCCGCCTCATCCAGGCGGAAGCAGTAATTCGATGATTTCCCCCTTAAAAAAATTATTGGTATGATTGGTCTCTATTTTTTCGTCCAAAATGTGTTGTAGACTAAAACTAGAACATCATGTTAAAAATGGCAAATAAAAACCTTAATACATCGTGTAACGGGACGAAAACGAAATACATTTCACGGTGTGTATGATGCATGGGATAATATCAAACAATCAAAATATAGTTTATAAAAAAATTCTATAAAGTAACTGTTTGAGGTGGTTACGTGACTGAGTTCAAGTCTCGCCAGAAGCCTATAATCTTGAGCAGCATGCGTGATAACCAGTGATCGGAAAAAAGTGAGCTAATTTACCTAAACTTCAAGGAACAAAAACAAAAAGTGGAGACTTCCTTACTACAACATTTTTTTTCCGGAAAATTCCGGTTTCACTTTCGGGATATTTATATATTACATTTAATATAATTGTTATTAATACATAAAACAATTGATTTCGTTTCGTCATTTTATTTCTTAAATTTAACACAAAACCGAACATAATTAAAACTTTTATTGTTTTCAACAATAAATATTTTAAGATGTAAGAAAGAGCATAAATTAAAATTATTCCAACACAAAAATTAATAAAAACCTAAAATCGTATATATCGTAATAACAAAAGCTAGAAAGAAACCGCAACTTTTTTCACTAAACTGGAACCGGAACTTTCCCGAAAAAATGTAGTAAGGCAGTCTCCACTTTTTGTTTTTGTTCCTTGAAGTTTAGGTAAATTAGCTCACCTTTTTCCGATCACTGGTGATAACCTACCACAACAAGTGCCCTGTGCTTGATTTAATGTAACATGTTGTCGCGGAGAACCTAACGGGTAACCGGGGCTCTGGCTCGACGTGCAGGAGAAGGAACGGGGTGGTTTTTAGTCAGTAAGAGTCTGACACTCCCTCCCGCCTCACCCAGGCGGGAGCAGTCATTCGATGATTTTCCCCCATTAAAAAAAAAATGTAACATGTTGTAAATTTCAATAACTAAATTAAAATATATTTTCACAGATATGCCCCCGGAGGTATGAAGATCAGAGCTGGTGAGTGGGACACACAAACCATCAAGGAGATATTCCCATATGAAGAGAGAAACGTTCAGAATGTTGTTATACATGAAAGTAAGTATAGTTTTACTTCTGCCTTGTTCAGTGAGTTCTTCAGTCGAGTACTGGTCATACCCAAACTATATATATATAAAAGAAAGTCGTATTAGTTACACTATTTATAACTCAAGAACGCCTCAATCGATTTAGATGAAAATTGGCAGGGAGGTAGCTTAGAACCAGGAGACGGACATAGAATACTTTTTATACAATACTTTTTTTTACTTTTTACCGAAAATCACGAACGGGAACGGGGGGATAATGTGATTGCGCATACGAAGTCGCGGGCAGAAGCTAGTATCGTCTAAAGTATTCAAATCAAAGCCAGGGTTTGACTGCTAAACAAGAAGTTTAGCGTTTGAACCCCGAATTAGACAAAGTACTGTTAGTGGTTTTCAAAAATTTCTCAGTAATAGTTAATAGTAAAGTTTTGTAATTTGTACTATGCGTCAAGCGTGTCCTTGAATTGTTCTCACATATACGTACAGTATTGGAATATGTATCAGAGACATTGTAAAACACATTTTTTTAAAGAGTAACGAATGGTGTTTCTTATTCGTTCTTTCTCAAGTTGAATCTACATTTTGGCACGAACACTTAGCTTCACTGACGGACAAGCTAACAGACTATTATTTATTTTGTATTTGTTAAAGTTTCAAAAGTACCAAATTATGGTTTAATCAAAATAAATGCTTAGACAACTAGATTTATCACACTTATTATGAAATTGTTTAATATAATCTTCATATATTTTACAGACTTCATGCCAAAAAGTTTGAAGAATGACATCGCATTGCTATACCTGGACAGCCCCTTACCTATTTCGGAATACATCAACGTGATCTGCATGCCAGAACAGGACGAGGTCTTCGACAGCCATAAGAACTGCGTCGCCAATGGATGGGGCAAGAGCCACTTTGGTAAGTGGAGAAGACCAGTAGACCAGTAGACCAGTAGACCTAAGTAGACCAGTAGACCTAAGTAGACCAGTAGACCTAAGTAGACCAGTAGACCTAAGTAGACCTTAAGAGTTTCATATTAGCTTTGAAATCATTCTCACAAGATATGTCTATTTTTTATGGAATAAACCGGTAAACGAGTAGACGGATCACCTGATGGTAAGCAATCGGCGCCGGCCATGTACACCCGAAACACCAAAGGCGTTACAAATGCGATCGCAGCCTTTTATGGGATTAAAAATTTGAAGATGGTTGGGATTAAAAATTGAAGATGATTAGTTACCGGTTGCGCTAACAACGTCAACAGCAAATGATATTTAAGTTTCTAATTGTTTTCATGCTTAATAAGCGTCTTAGCGATAACAGTTTAGTCAATATAAAGGTTTCTTTCTATGAATGTCCTAAGAGTTAGGGATTCGACTTCGCCGTCACTACATATTTGTGCCCTGCTGCGGACGACTGGAGCTCCGGTAACCCATTAGGCTCCGGCTCAAAGCAGAAGTAGGAACGGGGTGGTGTTAAGTCAGTAAGAGTCTGACACTCCCTCTCCGCCTCACCCAGGCGGGAGAAGTCATTGCATGATGTTCCACCCTTAAAAAAGTACATAAAATCGAAATTATTTTTTGTTACCCCGAGTCGAAGCTCCTCATTAAAATCACCTTTTCCATTCCCAGGACTCCAAAACCGATACGCTGTGATTCTCAAGAAGGTGGAACTTGACATGGTGCCATACAGCCGCTGCCAATCTTTGCTGAGGAGGACCAGGCTTGGACACAACTTCAAACTGCATAACAGCTTCGTGTGTGCTGGTGGAGAGGCTGGCAAGGATACCTGTCAGGTAGGATGAGATCTTTTATTTTAAAGGGTGGTGCTTCAGCTTTGCATGGTTGCCTTTGCCAACTTTCTTTAGTGAAAGGCTTGAATATTTAGCTGCTTTATAAACTTTGCCGGACGTCAAAGAATAGGGTAGATGCCTAATTTTTATTTTAATTTCCGTCTGGTAGATTATTTTAAATCATTAGACACGTATTTTTTATTTTCTTACAGAAACGAATACTTTCGACGATATATTGATTTGAAATGTCGCGTGACGTCACTTCTTTGTACATTTTATATGTAGAAATGATGTTTTAGCCCCCACTCCTAAACTTTGATTCGTTTTATTTATGTATTATTTCATAGTTCAACAAAATAAAAAAATACGTGTCTAATATTTTTTCATTATCTAACTGACGGACTAATTAGATTTTTCATTTTCATACCTTGTCCCTGTGTGTTGTTCAGTTATGCGCGTAATAACGTTATTTGCTTGATTTAAAAGCATTTTAAGGGATAAATTCAGTTCAAAGTTTTTATATCAGTTCATGCACTAAGTTTTTTTATGTGTATAGCACTATTCTGCTAAATACATGGGCTTCCTCTTGTCGTAATTTTGACAACTTTTTATCTGTTTATCTTACCTATATATCGAAACGAAACCACTATCGGCACACTGATTGGCCGGCGTTAATGAACTAACCAATCAAAATCAACATAAAAGAAACTCCTACTAATGGTGCTGATTAATTTAATTGTGGATTCAAAATCACTATGTCTGGAACGCTAAGTTCATTATCTCTGTGCTATTCTGACTTCTCTTATAAATTTAACTGCTTAGGAGTTACAATTTTTGAATTAATTTACGTTGTTTTTTATTTTTTCTTGATTTCTCCTTTTGAGGTCTACTTTAAGTTCAAAAGTAGTCACTTATTAAGATTACCTTTATTTCTTCTGGCGTATGTAAGTTGCCACTTCATCTCTAACTCAGTGCAACCCAATAGTGGGGAGAATAGTCGCTGAGAACCTTACGTAACCGGGGCTCCGGCTCGAAGTGCAGGAGAAGGAACGGGGTGGTGTTTAGTCAGTAAGAGTCTGACACTCCCTCCTGCCTCACCCAGGCGGGAGCAGTCATTCGACGATTTTCCCCCCTTAAAAATATATATATATATATAGTGGGGAGAATTGTTACTTATACTAGACAGACATGTTGTATATTTTGGAGTTTCGCTTCCTAATCCTAATGCATAATCTGCTTCGCTAACCTTACGCTGGCTTCACAAAGGAATTGCTTTTATGCGACCACACAAGATAAAAAAGGTTTTAAATAAAAATAAATATTTTTGCACAGGGCGACGGTGGCGCTCCCTTAGGCTGTCCTGTTGGCAACAACAGATACAAGCTGACTGGCCTAGTAGCGTGGGGAATAGGGTGTGGACAACAGGATGTCCCAGCAGTGTACACAAATGTGCCACTGTTCAGTAGCTGGGTGGACGCGAAAATGGCTCAATGGGGACTCGAAGCGACGTCCTACCGATACTCAGAATAATTTTTAAATAGTTCTAGTATTATTATTAGCTTTTAAATTATCACCTTTCATTAGACAGTCGTTTTTTGTGAGCAAAAATGTTCTTGTCAAAAAGTACTATCGGCGAAATTTTTGGTGTCCAACTGTATTGTCACTGATTGAGTTTGTTGATATACATAGTACTAAAATGTAACGTTTTTGTGGGCAAATTTTGTCTTTTCTTCTCGCTCTGTCATGCCATTTCGTGTATCATCCGGCACTATCTTCATTGTAATTTTTTCTACACTCAGTGCAAAAGGCCAGTATGGAACTCATATATAAATTGCGAAAGCAGTGCAAATTTTTATAATGTATTCTTAATGTTATGTTTATGTCAATCCCATCTTTCGTTGTCATTTTTCATACAGTTTGCATATCATTCATTGTCGTTACTTCATAAGTAATTTCATAATGAAGACTAACGGATTTGTTACAAAAATTTTTAGACATAGTGTATAAAATTACAGTTGTACAGATTATATGCTTATGGACTTCCAACTTAATGACATCTCATAGACTCCTTTTTTGAGGGATGAAAATCATTTAATTTTAACGACTTCTTACCTTGGGTGAGATGAGAGGAACTGTCAGTGTTACTGATTAAAAACCACCTTGAATCATCTCATAGACCATTACCGTCTTTACCATGAGGGCACTTGGGGCCTGTATCCAGGACCTTCTCAGGGGGGCCCTGAAGGACCGCCAATTTCTACGACTGACATTGCGTGGCAACCGACTGCCCCGCAACGTGTAGCGACTTAGATATCCCCACGGAGCAAACTTTTGTGTGATCCACAAATTGTTGTTTCGGGTCTGCGTGTGCTTGAACTTGTATGTTTGTCAATGCACCCGGTTTGTCAGCAGTGCACACACGGTATAGGAGAAAATCCTAGAGTAGGGTAACTTTAAAAAAAAAAACATTCTAAAGAAGCCCCGAATTGGTGTGCCTAAAGGCCCAAGCGTAGTCTAAGGTGGCCCTGTTTATAGACACATGTGAGGGCACAATACATTTAAAAAAATCTTAATGCACTCTTTGAATATCAGTGAAACGGCCTTTACGTTACCAGACTAGTTTTATTTCTTGAGTGCGTTTAGTTTTAACGCAGTAATTTTTTTTATATCAAACGATAAATCTTGACTGTCTCGGAGATTATTCAAATATAAAAAGGCTAGCTTATGCCAGCGGCTTCGCCTGCGTTCCAGAAGGATAAAAAGTGGCCTATATGTTATTCCACACCATAATCAACCCCTAATCCAAATTCCATCTTGATCCCTTCAGCCGTTTTGCCGTGAAAGAGTAACAAACACACACACACACACACACATATGTACTTCCTCACAAAATTTCGCATTTATAATATTAGTAGGATATTTTATCTACTATATAAAAATAAGTCGGGCTTCCATTCCTGACGCTATAACTCCAGAACGCACGAACCGATTTCCACGGTTTTGCATTCGTTGGAAATGTCTAGGGCTCCGTGAGGTTTATTCCACAAAGAAAATTCACTAATTACTAAACGAAATGTTACGTAAAACGAAGCCATCTGGTGGCGAAACGGAGTTCGCCGGGTTTGCTAGTTATTTATATTTATATATTTTATTTGATATTCATACTACTCCTTTCTTTATTTATACATAAATCGCATAAAAGACTTTATGGTATAATTAATACTATACAGTACAACTAATCTTAATTATTAATAGATATATAAAAGTCAAAATGTTACCTTAATCTATTAAATAACATAAATGCTCAAATACATTTAAATTAAGTCATTACTATTTTTATACAAAAGCAAAAATAAATCGAATTCACAAGTAAGGTTTTGGTTTTTTAATTTCCATTTTTTTTGTTTGTTTTTTTAACTGACTTTATTTTTTTAAGGTGTAAATATTTTAGTTTTAAATTATTTATATTTTAAGTTGTATATATTTACTAGCGGACCCGACAGACGTCCTCTAATAATAGGTATAGATTAATAACCTAGAAGTCCACTGCAGCGCCATCTCCCGGGCTGATTTGTGAATCTAAACCATTCCCAAATCCCCTTGAACACACAAAAAAATTCATCAAAATCGGTCCAGTTGTTTGAGAGAAGTTCAGTGACATACACACTCACAGAAGAATTATATATATAAAGATTTCATTTAAATTGTAACCTATATTTAGTAAATAAACAATTATTTAAAAAAAAAATGTAACGGACTTCTAAATAAAGGTGGTTCTCAATTTAACCTGTATGTATGTGCGCGATTATTTCGTATTTGAGTGAACCGATTTTGATCCGTTTTTCAGAGAAGTGTTTGTCACACTTAGGAGGTTTTAGTGGGTATATTCATTATTAGATGAAATTAAAAAAGATGGGGTTGAAGTCGGTTTTCTACATAGTTTATGAAAGAATTCTTTTTCGTTTTATACTTTTATGTAGCAAACGATTGCTGAACTGAGATAAGTACCATTTTAGAGTCGGAAAAAATATTAATAAATTGATATCTTCTTAAATAGAGAAGATGCGTAGTTTTGTTCGTGCTGATCGTAATAGATACCTAATAATATCTATATATTTTTTTACGAATTCAGAAATATCGATATTATTTAATGGAAAATTCTTCATTTTTAATCTCACACATCAAGTAGGTGTCTAATATTTTTCTATATTGTTAATATTATTTCTAAATAACTACACGGTTGGTGCGGTAGCTGGGCAACCGGCTGCCGTGCAACGTGTCGCGGGTTCGATTCCCGCACGGAACACACTTTGTGTGATCCACAAATTGTTGTTTCGGGTCTGGGTGTCATGTGTATGTGAACTTGTATGTTTGTAAACGCACCCACGAATCCTAGTTCGGGGCAACGTTTTATTAAAAAAAACTGAAAAGTCTGAAGAGGTATTACAATTTTATATATTTTTTAAACCCTGTCATTAGTTTTCTCGACCAATGGATCTATCTTTTTGTTTTTTTTTTCGCAGGGAGACGGTGGCGCCCCCTTAGCGTGTCCATTTGGCGATAACAGATACAAGCTAACAGGCCTAGTAGCGTGGGGGATAGGATGTGGAGACCAGGACGTCCCAGCAGTGTACGCCAACGTCCCAATGTTCAGAAATTGGTTGAATCAAAAGTTATCACTGTGGGGCATCGCTGGGACTTATTCTTAAGCGGTTATCTACCTTAAATTGTCTATTTAACAGTCGAAATTTAATAACCAATTTTAAATCAAAAATAGTAATGTCGAAAATTGATCGACAATATGGATTGAGTTGAGATTGATTATTTATTTCGACTTTTGACGATTATGTAGTTAATTTAAACAAAAAAAATATATAATTAAAAACAACAACAAAAATGACATACCACAGCATATGAAGCTATCATATTTTGTCAATGTTATCAATATAATTTTCCACCACACTTTAAGTTGCTTAACCTCTGGTACGGAGCGTAGATCTACGCGAGACAGGTTTGCTATTATGTCTCATATATTGACAGACGAGAGGTTGAAAACCGTTGACAGTGAAATGATAACTTTATGAGCTGAAAAGTTCGCCAAACACTACTACCAAGTTACGAATAGACTACAACGCTATACATTCAGTGAATAAATCGAATGTCGCTGTATAAAAACAAGTGTCTGCGATTGGAAAATTTATTGTGATAATTATAGTGCCGCTTCAGTACATGATCCGTAAAAGTAAACAGCACAGACCTGAATGTCAGACATTTATGTTACTATTTGTGTCGTAATCTATTCGTAACTTTAGTTCGGATGTTATCCAAAAACAAAATAAGACTGTTAGTAAATCTTGACGGGTAACAGTCAAGCTGGTCACCCATCCATTTTGCCAATAGTACCTACGGTGGCTGGCAGGTCAAGCTATCAATTTCTGTCAAATATCTGTATTATATGGATGTAACTCAAGATCAAAATAAGAATGTTAGCAAATCTTGACGGCTTAAGTCTAGCTGGTCACCCGTCAATTTTGCCAATAGTACCTACGGTGGCTGGCAGGTCAACCAATATTTTCTGTCAAACATCTGTATTATATCTTCAACTTTATTGTACGTACATAAAGTCAAGAATCCAATGAGAAAATTTGACATATTGATGTAGGTGGATTTGCTGGCCACTATACGCTTACCGTTTAATTTATTAAATTAATTATTTTTCTTTATATCTTTCCTATCTTCTAGTCATTTTTAAATGTTTATTATTTTCTTTCTATTTTTGTTTCCATTCCCCATACATTTACTAATTAATCCATTTTTTATGAAGTCATTGATTTATCGATTTCATTTTCGCATTAATTATTTCAAATCCTATAAAAAATTGACAATCATCTATTATGTAGATGAGTTGGTCGCTTATAGACTATTCTGAGTGGATACAAGGAAACAAACTCAGAGAAGAACAATTGAAACTCATATTAGATAAGTATTTTGAATTTTAAAATGACAATAAATGAAAAATGTGCGGGTTTGATAATGTAAGATGTTCATATACACATGTTGACAATAAAATGATTATTATTATATTATTGAGTATTTTTATTTATTTATCTGAAGTCCGAAAGTTCATTTTCACAAAAAGCCGGCAACGCACTTGTTAGTCCTCTGGTATTTATCATCAATCATCAACAGCCTATAAGTGCCCACTGCTGAACAAAGCCTCTTCTCACACGGAGAAGGTTTGAGCATTAATCACCACGCTTGCTCAATGCGGTTTGGCAATTACAAGCTTATAATTAGTAATTAGAAATTATAAGCCCAGGTTTCCTCACGATGTTTTCCTTCACCGTTTGTCAGAGGTGTCTAGATCTTAGATAGTACATATAACTCGGAAAGTCACATTGGTACATGCCATTGGTAGGTTTCGCACCCACACTTTCATGCATGAGAAGAGGGAGTCTTAACCTTCGCGACACCACGACATTTTTCGGATGCACCTCTGGTGTTGCAGATGTCTAATGCTCGTTTTCAGCAAACTCTCCTTTTTAAGGAACCCCTAAGCTAAGTGATTTTGGTTCTCACCAATCTATAAGTATCACCTAACACAGTAGATTCGATATAGCTTAGCCCACCCTCGAGAAGAGCTCACTATACAAATGATCCTATGAAGTAAGGTTTTGGCTTAGTACAACTAGTAAAGGGTTACATTATTTAAGTGGTACATCACGCTAAGTGACTTTTAGTTAAGAGATGGCTTAGGGAAGGTTGGTTAAGATGGCCATAAGGAAGATGATCTGTCTACTCGTTTGACGCCCTCAAACAAACAGGAATATTACTGCTTCAGTTGTCGGGTAGTTTTAAGAGCAACTACCGACTCTGCTCCACTTTGAACTCTGGTTCGAAACGTGGATATCTGGATAGATAGAGAGATCTGAATAGAACTAACGGCTCTATCTCGAACCAGAGTTCGAGTACCGTAAAATAGCGTGAATAGGGATCGAGAGGTGAATAGGGATAGAAGAGGGGTGAATCGATACTATGAAGAGTTTCCTTATATCTATTCACCCTTCTCCTGCCTCTTTTCGCCGCTCAAATCTTATTCACCCCATTTTACCGTATGATGCTATATTAGGTGCATTAGGTCCAAATAAATGATTACTATGTAAAGTAGGTAATAAAAATATATTTATTCAATTAACAGTAAACTTAGGTACATAGAAATTGCTTTAATTCCTGTCCAATGCAACATAAAGTCATTGCACAGTCCACAATAACATTAAAATGCTAATTATTATATTGTAATTTTGTTATATTAAATATAATTCATTTTCTCTTACAGGGTGATGGTGGCGCCCCCTTAGCGTGCCAATTTGGCAGCATGAGGTACAAGCTGACTGGTTTAGTGGCGTGGGGAATTGGGTGTGGGCAACAGGAAGTCCCAGCAGTGTACGCTAACGTCCCAAAGTTTAGGAATTGGGTGGACCAGAAATTGGGAATCTGGGGTGTCACAGCGACTTCATACAGTAATATTAAAGTTTAAATTTTCGACTATGCTGCTAACTTTTGACGATTGAAAGATATATTTTGAAAGCAATGCATTTTTTTACAGATGCTAGCATATTAGGCTGTCTTATTTTCTATTATAATATTATTTATTGTATTTTCAATTATATTTCAAGTAATTAAGGTTACAAATCCATTGATAATTAAGTGACAGCTTCATATGCTAGCGTGTGTTCGTCAAAACATAATAATGGTACAGTTTACGCTTTGCCAGTCGAACTGGTCAATCGTCAATTTTGCCGATAGTACTTTTCGACGTTTACCGGATCAAAAGTTAGAAGTTTGGTGTTTCGCAGCGACATCTCACAGCAATATTGAATTTAAATGACTTATTGAATTATTTAAAACATAAATTATTATTTATTATTAAAAAACAGTGACAAATAAATTGGTAAATTACAATATATTAGTGTTTATTTAATTTTCACTGTAGGTAACGCAGTACTACAGTTTGCCTTCTCTAATTCGGCGTGAAGTTGTTTCAGACGAGCTCTAGCTAACGTCAGGTTGGCATTTGTAGCTCTCATACTTTCCTGAAACAAAGAAAATGATATTTTATGTAAGTACCTAAGAAGCGAGGTCCGCTGTCCAGTGACACACGTACGCTGGTATTGTCATAAGCTAATGTTCACATGTAAACAGTGACTCGTGTAGTGTAGATGTTCAGTCAACTGATGGTAGCGAGGTTCACTGTCCAGTGACACACGTACGCTGGTATCGTCATGAGCTAATGTTCACATGTAAACGGTGACTCGTGTAGTGTAGATGTCCAGTCAACTGATGGTAGCGAGGTTCACTGTCCCGTGACACACGTACGCTGGTATCGTCATAAGCTCATGTTCACATGTAAACAGTGACTCGTGTAGTGTAGATGTCCAGTCGACTGATGGTAGCGAGGTTCACTGTCCAGTGACACACGTACTCTGGTATCGTCATAAGCTCATGTTCACATGTAAACAGTGACTCGTGTAGTGTAGATGTCCAGTCGACTGATGGTAGCGAGGTTCACTGTCCAGTGGCAAAAGTACGCTGGTATCGTCATGAGCTAATGTTCACATGTAAACAGTGACTCGTGTAGTGTAGATGTCCAGTCAACTGATGGTAGCGAGGTTCACTGTCCAGGGACACACGTACGTTGGTATCGTCATGAGCTAATGTTCACATGTAGACAGTGACTCGTGTAGTGTAGATGTCCAGTCAACTGATGGTAGCGAGGTTCACTGTCCAGTGACACACGTACGCTGGTATCGTCATGAGCTAATGTTCACATGTAAACAGTGACTCGTGTAGTGTAGATGTCCAGTCAACTGATGGTAGCGAGGTTCACTGTCCAGTGACACACGTACGCTGGTATCGTCATGAGCTAATGTTCACAGGTAAACACTAAACAGTGTCTCGTGTAGTGTTGATGTCTAGTCGACTGATGGTAACGAGGTTAACTATATCATTATGAGCTACTTACTTGAACATTCAGTAATGTTTTGTCAGCTCTCGTTAGCTTCTCGACTGATATTTCTGTGGTATGCTTGATTAGGCCTTCAAGCGTTGCTCGGAATGATACGTTGCATTCCCCTGTAACATTGAAAAATAGTCCTTAAGAACACGTCTTTAGTATTTTGTAGCTTGCTAAGAAGCTTTAGGTTTAAACTTTTCCGTAGCTGTAATAACTAAGAAAATATTGTATTTATTTATTATAAGTGTGTGGAGAACCATGCTTTCGGCACGAACGGGCTGGTTCGACCAGAGTGATACCATGGCCTCACAGAAAACCGACGAAAAGCAACGCTTGCATTGTGTTTCGTCGGGTGAGTGAGTCCCCAATTTCCCCAATCCCTGAATCCCAACAATCCCCAAAGGCCGGGTAATACACTTGTAACGTCTCTGGTGTTCCAGGTGTCCATGAGAGACGCTGATTGCTTACCATCACGTCAGCTCGATTGCCGGCTTATGTCATAATATTAATATTATAATTTCTTACTCGTTCTCCTTTATACATAATTATGAATCTATATCTTGAAACAAGCGGCTATTTAAACTGTCAAACACCAAGCGGTCACCGGTGACCGCAACCTATTGTTATTTAATTGTGTCTATAATGACGGTACTCAACGAATTAATGAACTAAAAATCGTGGGCTATTCACATGAATATATTGAAAAAAGCTCTCCTAGTTTAGTATGTCTCACGATCGTTATTATGTAAACAAAGCAGCTACTTGTAATTGACTTATTATTGAACAATTTGAACAACAATGAAACAAAACCAAACAAAAACTGCTATGTTTGAGTCAGGCTTGCAAAGCAAATCAAATCAAATGTCTTTATTTGCTGAACAGAGGTGTAGTACATAATTAGTGACTAAGGTGTTATTTATTTTTGTTACATATATCTCTTTGTTCTACCCGTTGGGCATGCAAATATTGGGTATGTCTCAACCATTGTACGTATTAATGAAATTCACAATCGGTCAATGTACATAGGTACGAGTCAAAAATATCTTTTCACATTCATAAATCAATCAATTAACTCGTTGAGTACCATCATTATAGACACAATTAAAGAACAATAGGTTGCGGTCACCGGTGTCCTCGCGGTGTTTAACAGTTTAATTAGTCATAGAAATTATACATCAATAATAAAAAAAAATTAAAGGTAGTTGTCGTAACTCTGTCGGGTATTTTAAATTAAAACAGAAGACTGCACATTAAGTAGGTTTATTCACAAATTAGAATCAAGACCGGCACGCACCGACACAAAGAAATGCCTGAAAGCTTTGGCTCTATGGTTGGTGGCCATACTAATGCGCGGACAGTATTTCTGAACAATCTACAAAAAACCTATTAAATATTTCAGCTGTAGGGCCACTGAGTATACTTACAAAGCTTCTGATGTAGCAAAGAGTTGTAAATATTGGAGTTAGCTGGTGCAGGTGTGGGAGATGGTCGCAGGACACTATTCAGCGGTAGATCCAGTTCTGGTAAGTTTGGTGGTATTGTTAGCTTAGTTTCTGTAACAGAAGATTGGTATATTATGTATGTTTTTTAAGGAATAGGAGGCATATGCGCGAAGAGATCTCCTGATGGTAAGCAATAAGAGCTGCCTGTGGACACCTGCAACACCAGAGCCGTCACAGGTGTATGTTATTGCTTAAAGATGTAGGTGAACTTTTGAGTAAACTTATTGTCAGTTATGTTATAAACCACATTAGATAATATAACCTGGATTTACTCCTGGGTCATGGATAAGTTTACAAACATACAAGTTCACATACACTTGACACTCAGATCCTCAGAACAACAATCTGTGGATCATACAAAGTGTTGTTCTGTGCGGGAATCGAACCCACGACACCTTGCGCGGCAGGCAGTTGCTCAGCCACCACACTGACCTTGCATTTAATTTATCAAATTTTGTTCTAGAACTATTTTAATATAGGTGTATTTTATGATACTTACCATCATCAGATTCTGGAGCCTCTCCAGCGATTACAAATGACTTGGTATTCACTGATAAGTCAAGGTCCTGAAATAAATTTCATCAATATTTAGGTGACCTACTTATTTAGTAGTTTTGAGTTGAGTTGAGTTAATATAATTCATATCAATCTTAGACAAAGTATGATAAGTAACGAGCTTAATATTGTTATGAAATATCACATAACATCGTTACTTTAACTCGTCGAGTACCGGTTTTATAGACACAATTAAAGAACAAAGAAAAATGAACTTCAAGTAATACACAGTTTGTTATATTCTATACATTTAAGTACAAACCGGCGATTTCCCGATTTCTATTTCAGAATCTGATTCGGACGCCTCGCCGTCGACGACTTGTGCATTTTTAGACATTTTTTCTTATTGGAAACGTAATATTTAAAGACAAAATCTTATCAAAAAGTTCACTATCCACAATGTTTACGTACTTTGACACTTTGACAGTTCACAGCTGACATGAAGACATTGACATCCACATGACATTTTTAAACGTCAAATATCAAGACGCACGTTTTGTTATTTCATGGCACTTGGCAGTATTGTCGACAAAGAAAATCGGTTTAGAATCTACATTGATAATGATAACAAATAATCCATAATGAGGCACGGGCGTCCATGAAATACTGCTTATACAATTTGCTGACTTTTTACTCGATACGAGAATCGAAGTCGCTTCGCAACCTGTTGAATAAAAGCCAGCTACCCAACTAATGCTTAAAGCAAGCAGATGTTTAGACACTTACATAAGTATTTGTTTTATAAGTACATGCTATTTACGGTCATATTAAGAATAAATTTCCACAAACTATTGAAATTACTCGAAAGCTGTTATACATATTTTTTTTATTTTGTTGTATTTTTCTATTTACAATATTTATTCTACGAAATACTTACAGATATTGCTTACACTTCTTATTGAAATAAATAATTAAAACTAAAATATTTACACCTTAAAAAATAATAATAAAAATAAATCATAAGGCATCAAAGAAAACATTTTCCTCATCGCTACCGTGAGGTAGGGTGCCCAAAATACTGGCAGCATTGCCACGTTGAATGGCAATGCTTAACCTTTGCCCAAGGTAGTAGCCAACCCTTCGATCACCTGAAGTGTCAACCATCCTCCTTACAATATCTTTGTAAAGAAGATGTGCACTTGGGCCCCACAGCCCTAAAGTTTCAACCCCAAGAGGTTCGAAAGCATAATTGCCAATCAGGCTATTATACTTTCGCCGTTTGAGGTTCTCGGCAGCAGCAGCGGCAGTACCGGCTCGACACGCTGAGCTTGGAAGATGGGATGGGCCCAGACTATCAACGCAAGTGGCGTCCCATACTAAAGCCCTACCCATCTTCCAAGGGAATAATGACATACCATCGGGTCTCTTGCCATCGTCGCGTACCAAACCATTAGGTTCTAAAGTAGCTGGCACGCCAACGGAGGCAAGAGCTCGACGAATTATGTCATTAATACTTGCGTGTCGAGCAAAACGGCCCGCACTACGTCTACATGACAAGCCGTGGTGTCCAAGGCTGTTGACATTTTCACCACAACGACAGTGATGAGGCAAGCCTTAAACAAATTGCAGCGCGGAACGTGGTGTCGTCCAACAAAGTACCTAGGTTAGACGAAGGTAAAGCAAGAAGCCATAACCCCGACTCCCACTCACCCACAGCCAAAACGCGAGCTCTCTCTGCAGTTGAACAAGAGGAGTTCAAAAGATTTTCGCTCACTTTTCTGCAGAGCGGCTCGTCCCATTGTCTCTGGGAGAGTGATTTGACAGGGGGGTCAATATTTGGGCAAGCGATTTTCCAAGCATTCACAGCTTCTACTAAACATGGTACATCAAAATTAACCAGTGATTGAGAAAGAATTTTCCTGGTTAATTCTTCAGTACCTACCATGGGCGGAAGATATGAAAGCCGGTAGGCTTACACTGGAAATTTTACGGACGCCAAGCCCACCCATGCGGACAGGCAGAGTGGCTTGTGTCCAAGCTCGGTCATCAAGAGCCACATTCAAAATTAAGGACAGGGTTCGCCTAATGATTTGGTCAATTTTTTCTAAAAGAAGGGGTGCAAACCAGACGTGGGTCGAGTGCAAATAGTACATAAATTTGGGACCGAAGCAACAAAACCGAATAATAGTATAAGCCGAATGCATTCTAATGTTATATAGTTTTTCTGAAACGACAGAAAATTTTGAATTTTTTCTTCAATAAAACTTGGAAAAGCCTCGCAGCCCCCTCTCGATCCATACCCGAGTTGAAGGGCTCGAATTTTTCCGAAAGGTGATTATTATAAAATTTGCAACAAATCATGGCTGCCATGCGACGATAAGTTGTTCCCACGGCATTGGGACGAATACCGCCATCTTTCTTGCGAAGGGCACATAAATTGGCCCCGTACAAAACGTCGATGACAGATTCGTGCACATTGCCGAAGAGCATAAGGTTGATCAAAACCGTAAGCTCCTTCAGCAGCGTCACGCCGGACTCCCCGGCGCTTGAGCTCGTCAGATCTTTGAGATGCTGCGGCATCAAACCGTCGAGGCCTCCGGCAGAACCGGTTCGGAAGGAGCCTATGGCAGTGACCACTTGTCGACCTGTAACAGATAGGGTATGAATATCTTCTGGAGGATCCGGAAAAGAGAGACCATCTACTGGGGCCGGGTGTTTGCTCTCCAGAGCTTTAAGCGTATCTGGAGAACATGGGGCCAGTACGTCGTTGCTGAAAATAATCCTGGCTGCACCGCTGATATCACCTTCACCTATTTTGGCCTCAACTAAATCCGCTAAAGTTTTGGTTGAGGCATAGCTGCAAGCCGGTAATTTTGGGTCGAATTGGGAAGCCGAAATGCAATTTTCTTTAATTTGTTTGGTTAAAGAATTTTGAAGAGCCAAATTCTTTTTGACGTGTAGGATTTGGTAAGGGAAGGTGAGAAGTTAACATTGAGAAGTGAAGATATACATAATTGTATAACCTAGCCCACACCCCTGTAAGGATATGTGTATAATATTCTGTGTTTGATGGACAGGGCGGGGATGACCTTGGGTGAAATGGGCTCATTTATAAAATCTCAAAAGATACTTATGCAATTAGAATAGGAATGGCGATTAATGAAATGCTTAGGGACTAGGGTTAGACTAGAGACCCAAACAATGAACTTATGGTAGGTATCCTAAAAAGGAACGTCTCCTTTGATTATTATAAAGTCAAAAGAAAAGTCAAAGTCAAAATCATTTATTTCAATTAAACCAGGATGGCACTTTTGAACGTCAACAACAAAAATGTTGAAGGGAAGCTAGTTGCTCATTCCAAGGTGTAGATTCCTATGGAGAAGAACGAGCAAGCAGCAAGAAACTCCATAGGTTACTCTTTTTCAATCGGGTATTGTAAATACAATTCTCTAGTTACATAGTTTTGTTTGGTTCGGTTGTGTGAGAACAATGCAACACTTAGGTGTTGCATTGGTCTGGATTTAGATCCAGTCAAAGAGATTGAAAAAGAAATAACCTTGAGGATAATAAACGTAAAACAATCTAGTACTAAGGCCTCAGGATACGACTATAAGTTAAATAAATATTTTTTATGGAATAGGAGGCAAACGAGCAGACGGATCACCTGATGGTAAGCGATCAGCGTCGTCCATGGACACCCGCAAAATAAAAATTTCTTTTTTCTTTTTTTGTAAATCCGTTCCTTTTAACTTGTTTCTTCTACTCTGGGTTTATCTTTGCTATTTATAGCGGTCGCCTCTACGGCGTAGGCCTTCCCTAAATCGCTCCAAGCTTCAGTTGCGCGCTTTCTGCATCCAGTCTGGTCCACAACGTTGGGTAAGAATATCTCGCCATCTCTTTCTTTGTCTCCCTTTCTTTCTTTTACTGTCTAATAGAATCCATTCTGTTTACCCCTTGGTACATCTCGTACATTCTAATCTACATAGATGTCCTGCCCAGGGCGCTTACTCTTGATACCAATCTCAATATCAATACAATTTCAATCCAAAAAGACCTCAATAACAATTCAATGTCAAAACTATACAACCCCTATCGTAGCTGTTACAATAGCATTCGGATTACGGAATATAAAGCCAAATTCAATACCATTCAGTTCATTAAATATCCACGCAATACGGATGCAATGGGCGCTAGTGTTGCAACTCAAGAGTATGAAATTTCACAATACCAATGCCGATCGATCGGAATTGCATTCAAGAGTTAAGCCCCAGATGTGAGAAATTTTTCCGTAGGTATCGAGTAAAGTATAAAGAAAAAAATGGATAACAGCCCCAGCAATATCCGGGCCTGTGCTTCACAAGTAAAAAGTCATCAATCTGATTTCTATATTGAAGTAGTCTCCACATCAGAACTTCAAAAATGGATGTCATCTATCGAGAAGCAGCTAAATGAGGTCTGCATTATTGCCACGGAAGGCAAACTAAATTCGGAGCAGAAACTAAGAATCAGTAACCTGAGCCGCAAAATAGGATCTGGCGTCTCTCAAATGGCAGTCCTATACCAGTCTCTGAAGCAAAAGGCCAACCAAGCAATCGACATAATTGACAACCTTCACGAAAAACGAGACCTAGCAGAAGAAATAATTGAATTAAAAGAAACAATTAAGACCTCTCCCGCAACAACAAACGTGTCCTTTGCTGATATGGTAAAAAAAGGGTCAAATGATTACATAAAACCCAGTAATCTAAGCTCTGTCGCCATTTATCCTGTCAACAAATTAAAATCTAGTGACGAAACTAAAACATTAGTTCAGCAAATCATTCGCCCAGATCAAATGAAACTACATGTACGTGGAGTCAGGAAAATTCAAAACGGTGGTGTGATAATTAGCACTGAGACCAAGGAAGATGTTGAGAAGGTGAAGCAGGCAGTTAACCTTTCGTCGACTGGACTTATTACCGGTGAGCCCAACAAGCGCCAACCAAGAATAACAGTGGTAGGAGTGCCCACTTCTATGACTGATACTGACGTATTAAAGTGTCTCTATGAGCAAAATGTCGCTGAAAATTTTCCGGAGATGTCACTAGAAGCCTTTTTAAGCAACATCAAATTAAGCCATAAATCCGGGAAGAAAGATACAGCGAACTGCAATTTCATCATACAGGTTCCAGCTAAGATCCGCAAAGCCCTAATAACTCAAGAAAGGATATACATAAATTGGACTTCTTGCCCTGTGAGAGATTATACATTAGTTACCAGGTGCTACAAATGCCAACAGTATGGCCATGCCGCTAAAACATGCAGAGACCTCTCGTCATGTGGACACTGCGGAGAAATGGGCCATGTAACACCTGCGTGCACGAAAAAAGTAGAAGTTTCTAAATGTGCCTCTTGCTC